GCCTGGATTTGTAGTATTTGGGTGGCTAAAGACACCAATATTTTTTTGTGGATGTGTTCCTTCTGACTAGATTCCAAAATAATACTACTTGTATTATTCTTATGTTGGTTCCTACTGCATACCGGATTGAAGAGGTTTGCCAGCAAACCCCATTTGTCAAGGAAATTCAGTTGGTACCAGCACTTTGTATGGGAAATGGACACAAATATCTGTACTCTAGCAGGACAGCAGAAAAAAAACATTAAGTGTAGAATAGTCTTTTGGAATAGAAAGTACTGGTAACTGTCTGAGGTGCAGTACAGAATGTACAAACCTGTCTCAAAACAAGTCATAAACAGGAGAATGTCTCTTGTTAGGGATACTTGCGGAACAGACACTTGACCCATGTTGATTACATTGCTTAGAATACTAGGGAAGAGTTTTTAGGTACTGCAGCAGTGACTGGCCTAAGAACCTATATAGAGTAGACAGAACTAGGAGAGAAATTCCAGTAGGATGTTCTTCAATGCATTCATGAGTCTGCAGGTGAAACAAATAGTGCTTTTCTTTCAGAATACTTTTTGAAGAGTGCTGAGCAAAGATAAACCTGCCTTTTAGGAACAGCACACTGTCAGTGTTACAGAGTAGTGACAGAAAAAAATCCACGTTGGCTCCTCTCTCTTACTGTAGGATGATTTTCTTCTATTTGCATTTGCAGAGTTACATCTACAAGCTTCCTCTTGGCAAAGCACTAGGGAAGATTCAGAAGAGTTACGCCCCTAGCCTCTTTGAAACTTTCTTTGCACTCTTGAGTGATATGGAACACTGAATATGAATGCCCTATAATCCAAAGAGATCCTAGCCCCATAGAAGTAACTAGACTCTGTTCTCTGTTGCTTGGATGCATGGTATATCATCTATTTTGGTTACAGAAGTTAATCTCCAGCCTATAATGGAGTTTTCAGAGCTTGCTTTCTTTAGGAGTGTAAGTGCTAGTGACTTTCAGTATGTTATCTACAAAAAACTTGAAGGTGTCACTGCAGCATAGGTTTGTGTTTTAGCCTTAATCAGGCTGTGATAAAAATGATAGTAATGAAGATGAATCAGAGTAGGCTAATAAACTGCCAGTGTTCCTTGTAAATTCTTTCGATTTACACACAGGTTTCTCACTGCTATTGTTACCACACTGGCGAAGGAGACTAAATTTTTTTGCTACTAAGAGATTGCCAGTTATACTACGGCCATACTGTGAGAGTTTTAGCATCACAATTACTGTTAAGCGCTTAACTTCTGCAACTGTGTTGTCAAAATATTTTTTTATACTTTAAATTCTGTCCATTAGGATTGCTGAAAGGAGCAGTCTTGCCTTACTGTTTCAGATTTAGACTAGATAACTTTTTCTTTCAGGTTCTGTTATCTATGCTGAATTAATGGTGCAAGACAGTTAGAAATTCATGTGGGAAGAGATCCTTTTAACATATTCCTTTCAGCCATTTTATTTCCTGAATTCTATAAATGAAATAGATTCAAATTTTGGTTTTGTTTGCATTCACATTTTGCATATACTGATGTGTTTATACATGCACGCATACTTTTTTGAAGTTTGGCCTCTGTAGCAAAACTAATGTGATCATCAATTAATACATGTTTGCTTATATACTAATGATTCTGCTGAGTGCATTATTGTAAATATATCACACTGATAACTTTCTTTGGGATCAGTATAGTAGTTAAATAGTCCTCCGTAACTTGAGTTAATATTAGTTTGTTTAACAAAAGTTAAACGTATTTTGATTTCTGCTGAATAGATAATCTCTCTCTCTTTTTTTTTTTTTTTTTTTTTTCCCTTAATGAACAAAGCTCTTTGGTGAATTGACTCTAACATTAAAGTCTAATGCAGTGTGTCTGGTCACCTTTAAATGAAATACCTATTACCCCTAGGAGCTATAACTATTTTTTAGAAAGTTCAATTAAATGAGGATGATATTACAGCATTTAGTCTGCTACAAACAGATAATACCCATCTGTACCATGATGTTAACAAACGTTATATCCGCAACTGTAGGGTTACTGCTTTGTTATCCTTACTGAGGGTTGTTCACTGCCAATATTTTTTCCTTCCTTTCCCCAACTTCCCCCCAGCCCCCAGCTTCTGGCTTCATGTCCTACACAAATGATTAGTGTGCTGGAATTGAATTGGCTGTAAAAAGATAATTAATTGATATTTCATTTTCAGAGAGGTCAAGCTGCCCTATGGTTGTTATGAAAGTAGTCATCCTGCTGGCACTTATCCCTTGAAGGTGGCACATGATCTTTGTCTTGCTGATAGTAGTGATTGTTGTAATTAAAAGAAACATGAAGGGGGTATTTAAGGAGTGATTCTCTGATTTGGATGCTTTAGCTTTGCTTTGAAAGCATGTGAAACTGGAATTTGTTAACCTTTTTGTATATGTGTGTGTTTATATATATGCACACCCACCCCCCTTACCTTATATTTATATATATATATATGCACACACACACCCCTTACAGGTAGCTCTCTGGGTAGTATGTTTTTAATGCCCGGCACAGTAGTACCTCATTTGCTGTCTAAACCTTCTTTGTGCCATACCACATTCTGTGGGACAACAGAAATATGACTATTGATGTGCAAGGTTTCTGAGATGACTGATGTGAAATTCTGCCAGGCACCTTGAAACCTCTGGTCTTAAGCACCTTTCTTTGAACAGCTGCTTATTTTGAGATTGTTTCTGTTAAAGATTGGCATGAAGAATTTATTTGGCAAGTGGGATATCTACATGTAGGACTTCCACTAATGTTTAAGAGGCTCTTAAATAAAAAGAAGAGCAAAATTCTACTAGTGACTCTCTTGGAAAAATGTGGGAAGACATAAATAAAGGTGAGAGTTGGGTTCATTGTCTCCTATGAAAGGTAGATTTAATTATTTGCTTTGTGTACTTACAGCTGTATCAGAGAAGGATTAGGTGACACAGTAAATCTCCTGTAGGCCTAACAGCTATGGCGCTTACTCCTTTTAAAGACTCTTCACAACTGTAGACTTAATGACAATTAAATAATTCTGCCATTCCTAGTAAGCCGGGTATGTACTGTTACTTCCCTGTGCATCAGTGTAGAGAGATGCTCAAGATCATACAGTTGATCAGGGTGTGAATTTGAGAGTTCTTTGTTTCTGGTGCTTCCTCAGATCACACAACTGTAGCAGCTGTAGTCTTTGCTTGTTACTGTAAGTATCTTGACATTCACTTGTGCGAATAAATATGTTATGGGCAAACTTCGTGAAGGCTTGTGACAAACAGGAAAATGTCTGCACTAGAAATGTTCATCTCTTCTTTCTTCCTTAAAGGGTCACTGATACTCCTTCTCTGCACTGTTTTAGAAGAAAAGTTGAATGGAGTCCCTTATTTTTTAAGAAAATTGATTTCCCATCTCTGATAACAGTTACACTAGCCCTGTGACTGGAGTGCGCTACTAAAAGTATCTTCTCAGTGTTAAACATTTCCTTTGAAACAGTGTGCCACAAGAGCTATCAATTAATAATAATAATTTTTTTTAAAGTTAAATTTAGTGATGCAGGAATCTTTCAGTGAAACTGTTAGTGCATTAAGAACCTGGAGTTACTCTGTAAGCGGTGTCGTTCTTATTCATTGCCCAGAGAATAAATACTGCTACTACAGCAAAAGCTAATGGAGAGAAAGATGTTATTTAATGTCCTTGCAGAGGCAAAGACTTAACTTTTATCTTGCTGTATAATGATAAAGTTATGGCACTGTGGAGATAACTGCAGCATTCACAACTAGAAATTTCTTACTTTAAGGTATTCTATCTAAGGTGAAGTATTGCAGTTAGAATATTATCTTTCTTTCACACTTCACCCCACAGAATTTGAGACAAGCACTATTATTTTTAGGTTTTGTCCTGAATTATTCAGCAACACTTTTCAACACAAAATATTCCTGCCAGGATGGGAAATTACCTACCAAAGCATTCTCCTGTCTCCTGGTTTCTATTATGAAATGCTTCTTCAAGTTCCCACTCATTAAGAACATGATCAGAACAGCCTTCTTGTAGGTTTTGCTGGGAACAGGAGTTATTTAATTGTGAAATTTGAGTTTCTGCAGGGTGGGTTGGTATAAAATTATCATGAGTAATTGCAGTATTGTGTAATTGTTTGCTATGTTGGTTGTGACAAAAACCATCCAAGATGGCATCAGTTCTGTTACACCTGAATGAAAAGAAGAAGAAAAAAACAACCCTATTTTGTGCAATGCTGTCAACATAATTTCTCAGGCTTTGCAGTACTTCTTACAGTGGGATCTTGAAGAATATTTCAGAAAAGAAAGAAATATAAAAGCTATCAAACTTCTATCTATGCCAGCCTTAAGCTGAATACTGTATTTGCATGGATGTGATAAACAAAAATGAAGAAAACAATGGTGTAGACATTTAAAAATTCCAGGAAATAGTTCAGAGAATAACTTGGTCTACTAACTGAAGGCTTGAAACTATACTGGGAAAATTCTAGGGAAAAGTCTTGATACTCTTGTTCTAAGTGAGCAAGTAAGATGTGCCTGTTCTGAACGTTCAGGTATAGGTAACTACTTACTTAACTCTCAATAAGATTTTAGTTCTAAAAATGAAGAGCAGATAAGAGTTTCAGATCAGGCAATTTGATACAACTTCTGATTTTGAGTTCTTTTGACTGTTGAGCTGCACATTCTGGCTTTTATCTTTTTTATGATTTGGCTCAAATTACTGTAGGGAATGCTAATAGTTTAGTGACCAGGATCCAGTTTTGTTTACAGAAATAAATAATAGGAAATCATGAGAGAATCTTAATATATGTAAATCAAAATCCACCATATTCAAGTGCTGATGATTTTGCATTTGTTCTTAACTTATGAATGCAAAGGAAAACACTAGCACATCATAAATTACACCATTTTTGGCACTTTCCTTAAGCACTACAGAAATACTTTTTCTTTTTTTTTTTCTTTCTGTAGAAAGGCGGCAAAAAGCCAAGTGGCAGGATATCTGCTGAGAAAGCTGAGAAGATGACAGTCTCGCAGGAGAAAATGGAAGACAGCAGGTATGTGTGAATCAGTATTCCTACTGCTCGGCTGGAGAATGCTGTCTGCCGAAAGCCGTTTTTATCTCTTTGCAGCGCACCACTTCTAATTGGTCTTACTCTCGTGGACAAATGACCCTGTCTTTTCCTTAGCTGACCACTGTAATATAATAATGCCTTTCACATTTTATGCCAACACATCTTTTACTTCCTTATAACCCGGGCTTGTGATTGCAAGAACAATGTTTCTAGTCCTTCAATTTGGAGAGTGTTTGGTGTTGGGCTTTTTGGGTGTTTGAGTTTTGGGGTTTATTTAAAGCAATTTTCTTGTTTTATTAGAGCTTTTCAAATGAAGTAGGTGTGGGAGGTTTCACTACACCTCTAAAATTTCCATCTACTACCTGTTTTTTCAGCTAAGTTCTGCAGTCCACTCTGATTTCTCTGTTGATGTGATTACACTGAATAATTAACCTTGCTAGTTTAAAACTGGTGTGTTTAAAGGAACCTCCATTATTGCCTTACACGTGATGTAGATAGAGAGTTAAAAAGAAAAGAATTTTATAGAGAATAGAAGCTTCTCCTTGGTTTACTTAAGTTAGTCAGGTTTTGCAAAGGTGAGTTGAACAACTGTGGCAACATAAAAATTACAGTTTAAGCACAGAAAATCCTTGTTCTCTGGAGAGAAAAAACAAACAAAACAGGAAAAACCCACTAGTTTGAGTTTATGGAAAGTGTAAAATGGAATTAGACAAAGAAAGACTTGTGTTATGACCCTTTGGTGTTTATGTATTGGGAGTAAACTCCAGCTGTAGGTTTTTCAGTGCATGATTGACATACTCTCTATGCTTTTACTGTTTGAAAACAATGCTGGCATTGCATTTTTCTGCTTGATATGAAAGAATTCTCTTGCACTGTTTTGTAATTACATGCTCAGGAAGCTTTAGGTATTTTATTTTGCATATACTCAATAGTTTCATATTCTGTTCCATGTTGAGATTCGTAGACTCAATGTTTAATGTATTTTCAATTGTGGATGGACCAATGGCAAATTCCTTCATGCAGGAACCTGGTAGAATTATCATTATCATTAAAATGAATTAGAACGTAATCCAAAACCCAACTGAAGTTGCATTCTTATAGGTTAAAAAAAAAAAAATATTTCTATCATTGCAATTACAGAGAATCTTCAGATTGCTTAGATAGCATTCTACTTTTACCTATTGGAATTCAAATTATCTGTTAAAAAGTTTGTGAAGTTTCATAAACACTTTTGTCATGTCTTTCAGGTAGCTTCCTATTTCAACTCCCTAATAGAAATGACTTTGTACACTGATTATAGGAAAGTTGGGGTTTGTTTTTGGTTTTGTTTTTTTTTTTTTTTTAATCAGGACAATCTATGTAAACTAATGATTTTCAATGCTTCAAATAGAAGCTACAAATCCATTTCCAACTCTGAAACTTAACTGCAGTCTGTAAGATCTTAACTGGAGTAAGCTTTCCTTGCCCAGCGTCAAGGTCTAGGTGAACTTTTAAATTCTCTTACCCTGTAGTAGGGAAGAATAAGGTGTATGCAGAAGCCCAACTTGGGAAAAGTCTTAGGTTCTCCTTTATCATATTGGAAAACTTAAAATGTAAAATTCTGGCTCTGGCTGATGGCCCATTTAGCTGTTACCTGCTTTAGATATTAGTCACAAACTTTCAAATCCTATTCCTTTAATTCCAGTTGGAAAAAGAGAAGACACTCGTTCTGTAATTTTGCTGATGCAAAGGAATGGCAGGCAGGCATCTAAAGGAATAGTAGGAGGCTTTTTAAAAAGTCAAGGTAGCTTTGAATAACGTGGAAGAGCAAGAGAACTTGTAAATGTCAGGATACTGATGTACAGAAACTCGAGCTTTTGACAAAGATAACATGACGTCTCTGCTTTCCTGGATTGAGGTGATTTATCCTGATACAGCTGATTTCTGGACTTGCACCAAAGCGAAGTTTGATTCAGTGTGTGTAAATTGCCTTGTGTGTTAAAAAGAAGAGAAGAGTAGAAATATTTTTTCAAATAGCATTATTTCCTCAAAACAAACAATAATCTCTTTCTTTCTTGATACAGCTTAGATGTGAATTAAAAATATTTTTTTAGCTTTTGGATAACTTTATGGCTTTTCAGTTGTTTTCTGTGAGAATGCATGTGCAGGTAGACCTCCTAGTCCTACTTCTTGTATGCAGTATTCTCATACAGGTATTTTTGCTAGGTGACTAACTGGAATAATAAACTGTGATTTCAAGGGCAGTGAATAAACCTTCCTTTTTATAAGTAACATGTGAGAATATAGTAAATAAAATCTCTGGTTTCTCGTGACCATTTAATCGATATGCAACTCTGAAAGCAATACTGAATCTTTTCCACGATCCAGCCACAGATGTGCTTGCATTAAGGCTGTGGTATGAGATGACAGTAAATGAAACTGCAGCAACAGCAGCAAGTATTAGGGAGAAATGAAAATTCCTGACTCAGAGGAGCAGGGCAATGACAGAAAGACTCCTCATTATAGATCTTTTCATATGGAGAAGAATGGCTGGTAAATGAGGTTTCTGTGACACAAAGAGGATGGAAATACAGTTGGACATTCATAGAAATTGTGCTCACTGTACAAAACAAATAGAAGAATAGGGGATATCTAATTTGCATTTCTTAACTGACAAAATGAGTACAGAGAGATCCTCTGAGACAGGTGACAGTTGCACCAGTTAAGAGAAAAGTATTGTTTAATCTTCCCATTACGTGGGTTGTTGATGAAAGTGACTTTTCCTGTAGCCAGGCTAGTGGTAACTTTTCCAGTGTTTGCTTTAATTTATTTACTGTACAATAGGTTGTAGGCTTTTTAAAATACTGACTTGTGCAAATCTGTAGTGATGACTAATTCTCCACCCTTTTCACTAGTTTAGCTAATTGCAAAGCATAAAATAATTATAATTGGACTTGCTAACATGAGCAGGCTTAGTGATTCCAGTGTCTAATCGGGTTGGTCCCGCTGATTTGCAATAGCTTCTCTGTAGCAAACAAGGTCTTTTTTTGTCTTTAACCAATATAAGAAGTCAGATTTCTGTCAAAATAGACAGGACAATGTGCACTGGCTAATAATAGAAACCAGAGGTACTGAACTATTTAAAGCACTTTCAAAAATGCATCACTTACCACATGCAGTAACTGTGTGTCTCATTTTTGCAGTGTGACCAGGGAATTTAGTGTAGACTGTTGGGTTTTTTGTTTTGTTGTGTTTTTCCTTAAATGGCTTCGCTTGGCTGCATTCCAACCCCTTAGTCTGAGCCTATTTTGCTTTATCCTATTAAGTGGCCTAGAGAGCTGCTAATTCTCAGATTTCTGGATCTAAAATAGCTGGAGGTGCGTTCTCATAGGACACCATCTCTCTCCCATGGTCTGTCTTTAGGCATAAGATACCTTAATTTTTTTTTTTTTTTTTTTTAATACTTGAAGAAATAAAAGAGGAGGTTGTCTTTCGGTCAAGCTTAGCTGGACTTTTCTGCTGTGATGTGAAGGGTATGTACTTGTGTGCTGAGAAGGGGATCTTATCTTTTCAGGTACTTGAGAGGTACTTGAAATGCTTGACTTTGTCTTAAATGTTTTACACAATCAAAGATCATGAATAACCCATATAATCAATGTATATAGAAAAAAAGAACGCTGGAGTTTCAGACAGGTCACTTAATGTACTTGCAGCTGTCTCGCACATCGGTCTTCACCGCTGTCTAGTAATTCTTTCAAAACTACAGTAAGTCATACATTAAGGCATTAATTAGCTTCACCTAGAAGTCAGTCTCTGCCTACAGTGGCAGCCACTCCATTATCATCTGATGTATTTCAAACAATAGAAATGATTGAAACAGGAACTCCTACATTTCTATGAAGATTAAGAATGGCATACCACCCTGTAATTTTTAGGTAGTTGTGCAAGTTTTCATTTGCATTAGGAGAATAGTACAGCTTGTGTTGAATTATTCCGTAAAAATATCTTCAGGTTTTGAAAGATTTACTGTGCCATATGTATGTTGTTTGTTTTCAAGTGTTCTGGTTCGGTGGTGATGGATTTTGTGGTTGTTTAAATGTATGTGTCTTCAACTGAAGATGAAACTAAGATTCATTAATTCTCTAGAAGCCCAGAGTGTGGCACATTTGAGTCTCAATGCTGGTTTTAATCCTTGAGAGCCACCTTAAAACTCTGAATTACATTTATAGAATAGCTGAATTTAATTTTAAATCTATCAGGCAGTTCCATTTCCTTTATTAATAAAATGAACTTCTTTCATATGTGACACTGTCAGTTATTGCAAGCAGAGATTTGTTGTCACATATTTTTGTTGTCTTCAGTTATGTGGTAAGTAGGGTCAAGTTTGTTATAATTAATTCAAAGTAACTGAAATTTGTATTTACTTGAAATCTGGATGAAACTGGCTGATGTAGTTTACATATATTTTTCTGTGACTTGCATGACTTTGAATGGTTTAGACAGGATAGTACTTAATTGTGCCAGAAGTGTAATTGGATGTTTTGTAGTCATGACTTTAAGATTCTTTTATTCCTTTTTTTTCTCCTGTCCCTTTAGCTTCTCCACCCATATTCTGAGCACTATTTTTAATCAATTTGGTACAGTTTAAAGCAACACATTGCATGTTCACAGGAAGATGTATATTTTCAGTGTCACTGAAGATATCTTTTTATATGGACTCTTGGTCAGAATATTTCTGTTTAGGAGAAAGGCAACAGTAACTGCAGAAACTTATTCAGCACTAAAAGTTGCTTCAGTTATTTTAGAAGAACTGGCATTTACTTGGCACCTAATTCTGCAACTGTAACTGACATCAGTGCTGCACATCTGAATTCAGGATTTTGAAGGAATGTAATGTTCACAGAATTGGACATTTATTGATAATAGTGACAGGGCTATACCGACTTCTTTTTTTTCCCCGTTAAGACATATTTAATTATAGTTTTATGAAAAACATTCTTTTAGACATTGTCATCTGGTATATGCAAAATTGTTGCAGCTAGTGATATGACAGACTTACTGTGGCTGCAAGTAAGATTTTTCTAGAAATGTCAGGACAGCAGTGAGCAAACAAAATATTTTTCTGTTACAGTTTATACTTTGCACTTCCACATTTTATATGCAGCATTTCATCAAAAAGTAGGTCCTGTGTGTGACTTAGACACAAGTGGAAAGTTGGTTTATCTAATCTCAAGACGCATTTTTTTATTCCATTACTCATTTTAATACATTGTTTCAAATAGATTAGTCTCAGCTGTTGAGGTAGAAGCAGCTTGTTATTTTTCCATAGAGAAGGTCACTATGCATCAGGGTAGTCAGGTGGCTGGCAAATAAAACTTAAAATAAATTCTACACTGCCATCTTGCTTTACTTGAAAAGGATTCTTTTAATTGCCTGGTCATTTTTTTCATGCAGGAAAAATTTCACGCATATTACAGAATTTCACTGTGTGATGGAGATCCTTGTCAATTCATGAAGAATATTGAAGAGCTGAGGAGGATGGGCTTGATTTAACGTATGAGGTATGGGACTTCGCCCAACAACGCATGAAAGTTGTATATGAATCTCTGACCGGGTTGACTGGTGTGAAGATGGAAGAGGAAATGTCAACTTCCTTTATCATTTATTCTGAGCAATATTAATTACCTGTTTTGTGATTGGCAAAAAGCAGCCACATGTAGAACCTAGCCAAGCACTGAGCCCTAATCCAATCAGCCTGATGTATGCAAAAAGTTTACAGAATGACCTTGTGCATAATTACTCATTTGATGGCTGTTTAGTAAATGGCACAAATGGAATCTGACATACATTATAACACATGAATGATTGCCTTCCTCCCTCCATCCTCTTCTGTACAGAAAAATGATTTTAATTAAGACTTCCGTGATTAGTCATTTAATCAGTCATTAGGCCAATACAGATGGAGTCAATTAATTTTTTTACACTTGAATAGAGACTTGATGCTACTGCAAACTATACAATCTATTTTTTTTTAAACATTGTATCATGGGCAATTGCCTTGATGTCTGTCTAGTAAGTGTACATTACTCTTCCAAAAACTGGGTAGCATTTACAGCACATCAGTATTATGGCAACTATAGGTATGTTTTATTACATGCTATCCAAATGTTAATGAATTGGTTTGGTTTTGAATTCAGATTGATGGTTGTTCTTGTTATGGAGTGTCCTCTAGTTTTTAAAGACTAGTGGGGCAGAGTTGCCTTTTAAAGCAAATGTATTCAGAATCTCCTGCTATATTTTGATATTGCAAATGATAAAACTTTGTGTTTCAGTGCTAAATTTCATGCAAGAATTTCAAATGTTTTATGAACTTAAGAGCCTGTTCCATTTGGTGTGGGAAGACTTTCTACCTGGCAGATTTTAAAAATTAGGTTCATATAGCTATGAATTTACTTGCTAAAAATCATGAGAGGAATTGAGTGATCAGCATCCATGTTAGATCAACAATATTTGAAATAACTCATTGGCTGTAGATCAAAGTCATTGGTCATTTACAGGACAAGAAGAAAACAGAAATCTTGTAGTTTTTTAAAACTATTTTAGAATAGATCATCAGCTATTGTTGTGGTTGACTGATATATCTTCTCTTTAAAAGATAGCACTCCAAAACAATATAAAAGCATGTTTAAAAAAGACAAAGCATCTTTGATTTCTATTCTGCGAGCAATTAAATACAGAGAAAATTAATGAACTGGTGAAACTTCCATGATGTTTTTATTGACTGCTGTATGTTGGCTCATAAAGCAGCATTGGATGTTTCTAGTGGTGTGCATTTATTGAGGTCTTACTGCCCTGTTGAAAAAAACGCAAATCGTCCAGGTTTTCTTCTTGAGGATACATTGTGGATAAAACCGAAAACAAAATATAATATAAATGATTAAAAGAACTGTTGTCTTGACTCAGCACTCTTGCCACTCCTGCCAAACTAAGTTCAGCAATTAACTAAATCTAGGTTTTTGTCTGGAAGGACAAAAGAAAGCACTTACTGGTAGAACGGGGCATAAATGGATCACATATGAAGATATCCATGAAAAAGGAGCAAGAATTGTAAGTTTCTAAAGCAAAATGTCACTTTTATGGAATTCTGGAATGGTAAATTTATGATGGGTTTCAAAACATCAATAGTCTTATTCTTTAATCTCCAAGTAATGATTAATACTGTTTACAGTGCTACTTTTCACATGAAAGAAGGATTTAGCATATTGAAAAGGACCAAAGTGTACCATGCTTTGCCCTGAACACATTTACCTATCTGGGATACTAGTCAGAGGAAGATAAGAGTTAACATCTGCAGTATATATTTCATAGATCTGCTCTTGTCCTCTTTGTTCCTCCTGTCAGTTGATTCTTCATAGTGTTCCTTTGCAGGATTCCTGCTTGCTGAACATTGTCGTTCATGTGGACAAATGCTGTGGAGTGGTGCAGAGTGCTGAGGCATCCTCCAGTGTGGTAAGCAAATCTGCTCGGAAATTGTTATTTTTAAAGTGAGTTTTTCAGGGATGGTCTACTGTAGAGGCAGGCAAAGTAGTTTAGATCCTAAAAATACTGGTTTGTATGACTTCAGCAGACCTATGGAAGGTAGGGTAGGAGCAGTGAAAATCTTTGATTGTACAGAAAACATACAGAAAATCATTTTAGTAGGTTTTGTTTATATTCAGGAGTGTAGAAGAGAAATGTCTGTATTCTGTGCTTATATTTAAGAAGTATTACAACTCCATCTGCTATCTCCACCATGTTCTGTCCATATTTTCACTTATCAAGAAAGCAAGGTTTATTCAAGGGTAAAATTTTCAAAAGCAACTAGCTGTTTTCTCATTGACTTCTGCTGTCACCTCTGTGCCTCCATGTTCCACTGTGTTTGCTGATGCTCATGCTTATTTAAAGCGTAATGCTTGGTGAGTCATGTTCTGGCTGCTGTGGGCGTCCTGATGACCAGGTTGCAAAGAAGGGAAGCAGCAGAACGTCTCCACCATAACAACTGGACTGCATTGCAAACAAGATACAAGTCTGCTCCGTCAGATAATAACCTGGTATGCTAGGTATGAGATGAACAACTGCACATGGGAAAATGTTTGTGCAGTAAGTACAAGGAGGTCTGGTGCATTTGGCTTGCATTTTAAATGTGACTGAATAATTACTGTTGAGCAGTTAATTAGAAAGATCCTAATGTAAGACTGGCCTGTGACACCAGACAAGATTGCAAAAAGAATGACTTGTGAGTCCCTGTCTGGAAAAGTTACTCGATAAAAAGGGACAATCAACTGCTGAAGCAGTGTGATCTCCTAATCAAGAATATGAAGGCAGTTCAGCTGGACTGCCGACAAACAGGCTCTGTGAAACGGTAGCTTGAAATAAGTACAAGTAGAGAACCCCTGCAAAAAGTGGTACATGAATTAGTTTGTTAATTTACTGCCACCCAAACCTCAAGTCCATTTCCAATGTAAATTAAAGGCAAGGCAATTGCAATCTGTGGCAGTAAATGGGGTTAAGAGTCTATGCTAACAGCAGATTTTTGTAGTAGCTGGTGTTTCAGTTCCATTTTGCTATGTTGTTGCCATGCTGGGAGGTAAGAGGTTGCTGCCCAGCCTCTGTTTTGGAGTGGCTTCCTATTAGGTCAGATCCTCACCACCTCAGTTGTTTGTTTCACTGTTGTCTTGGTGGGCTATTGCAGAGGCAAAAGGGAAAGAAGTAGATTGGTTTGAGTCTTTCTTAAGAAAGCTTTTAAAGAATGAAAAATGAGCCCTGTCTTGTCTATCCCAGGAATAATAAATAAAAGCAGGTGTGAGGTGTTGGAATTGAAAACAGCTGGATGTGACGGATGTGATCTGACTTCTCTAGAGCTTCAGTCTTTAATCCCTGTGGCTCAGTGTGAATATTTCCCTCCTGATGCAATGCAGAAATAATAAATAGAACACAGCATATGGAAGGGTTCCTAGGCTGAGAAAGGAGGAGGGAAAACGCCACAGTTAACTCTCTTTATGCTCACTTTTCATTGTATATGTGTGCCTCAGCAACCTTTCTTAATGCATTCTACTAATCCTCATTGTCTGTTTCTTGGTGTTTGCAGCAAGGCATGTCATGCTAAGATGAAAAAATCAGAAGACTTTGGAAATTTGTATTGCAACTGGAATCTACCTTAATTCAGAGCTATGCTTTTGAAGATGTATAGTGATCCTCTCCCCAATTTTGACGTAGCTTTTGCACATTAAAACTTCTTCCCAAATAAAGTAAGCGCTGAACCGTCACTATAAATTGCAATGAAATGCCTCTCTGTAGCATTAAAATGATCTGATATTCAGTTAGTCATACAGACTTTTTCTGTAGCTTGAATCTTGTCAAATCTTGACCCTTGTACTCTGCCAGAGGATGTGTTTGTCCACTGGAAAAACTCTGCCATCTAATTTAGAGTGTTCCATACAAGGAATGGATAGGCAGAGCATTTTAGTTGATTAGAGCTAACGTGATAATTGAGATGACATCAAATGATTCATTACACTTGTCTGAGACAGCAGGATTCAAAAATAGGCATAGTGCAATTCTATCCTATCCAATGATTTTTTTTATTTAACCTGGGTATAAAATGCTTTGTATGTTGGAATGAATACTTTGGACACGGATGTGGATGTGAAGTAGTATGTAAAAGAAACAAAGAAATGCCTGCTTAAGTAAATGCTATGTGGGTTCATTCTTTCATGTTTATTTTATTCCAGGAGTAATGATAGGATTCATCAGGGTCACACTTGGAAGCTGTCTTGCAAAGTAGATCATTTAGAAAAACGTTTTGGCACCCTGCTGTTTTGTCATATATTCCAAGCAGGTTGTGCCAAAAGAAAATTGTGGAAACTGCTGTCATAGAGTACAAAATCATTGGATTTATAATAGGGAGCCAGTGGCGAGAATTCATTATACATTCACACCTGCAGATAAAGAGCATCTAAAATTGGAAGTTTTATTCCACTCATCTTTGATCCTGTTATTATTAGATGATATTAGCATCATCCTACACTAGATTCTGGAATTGCAGCGGATATGAATTCCATCCATTAGTTTTTTCATATGTCATTCTTTCTGTACAGCAACTGTATCCTGTATTTACAGCAGTAATTCTGGATACTGAGACTCTTGGTTTCTGTTGTTGTATTGTATGGGACTAGTGTCTTATGCATAATTTACCTTTTGTAAACTAATAATATAAAAATCATTCAACTCAAATTCTTCCACCATCCTGAATAGAAACTTTTTTGTACTTCTAAAGTATTTGGAATCATTCATCAACCTCTAGACATAAAGTGATACCTTTACATAGAATTTGTTAATTTAGGCTCTTTATTTACATTTGTAAATACATAGCTTTGTGTCAAAATACCACTTAAACAGTAACGCATACTAAGACTAGGAATTCTCCTTAATCTCAAATTAAGCTTGGGAGCCCAGATTCTCTGTTTCGGCTGAATAGTCATGATTCTGTTATCCCAATTCAGATCTTCCTGCTCAGTTTTAGAGGTGAAACCCTGGATTCTACATGTGCTGGTTCTTTTCCTTACTCTGCAACAGATAAATTATTAATTTACACTTACATGTATTCATACAGAGCTATTTTAAACAGAATTACAAAATTTGGGCCAAGCTGACTGGTAATAGCTGAGTATTTAATCAGTTGAGTCTAGTTAAAGATGAAAAATACTTGCTATGAAGAATGATCACAGCCAATCAATTCGGCCTTTCTGGATGTTTGAGAGCTAAATTTTCAGAACTTGTACAGGGAATTTTTGCATAGCTCCTGTTCCCTGAGTAACGGCTGGTGGTACACACTTAATTGTTTCAGTAGCCATCATCTGTGACAACTTGTGTTGCCATGTAGAGAGTTTATAGCAAAATAAAGTAAAGATCTGCTGCCTGAAAGTTTTAATTTGTACCCCAGGGAGAGTTAAAACAGGAATGCAGATTTTTGTCTGTTGTTGTAAAGGAATTGATAGTTTACTCAGATGAATTAAAGCGATATTATATAAAACTTTATAGACGAATACTGTACAAACATTGTGAAGGCAATTAAATATCTAATAGCAGTCCAATTAAGTTATTTTTATGACAAGATGATGAGTTACTGGTAGTTTATTTGTAGGCAGCAATTTAAGTAAATCCTAAAGGTTACATACTGCACACAAGAATCTAAATAATTCAAGGTCCTGAAGATCTTTGGAAATAATCATTCAGTCTGGACATTTTTTGCCATATAGACTCTGTATTCAGCTATGAAATCAGCAGGGCATTGAATGTTTCTGATTTTATTGATGGGGAAGATGGGATATGAGTTAATTATCCAGAATTATTTCCACTTGGTATAAGAAGTCTACTTCCACAAGACCATGTAGATTTACTTGTGTAGTCCACCTTAGTATTAGTTTGCAATTTTCATCTTGAGAATTTAGAGAAATTAAACCCATATCGGTTGGATTACATGCTTTTCAATGAGAGTATAAAATAAAACTAGTAGTATAGTATTAAGGTAGCAGCCAAAGTTGAAACCAGAATAGCAGTTTGTAGTGAGTCCTGCAAACTTACCAGTGCCTTTGCTTCCCAAAGGTGATGAACAGTGGAAGGAGTGGTAGAATGCACGTCTGTAGAGTGTGGAGATGCCCCTGCGTTTCTGAGAGAGATCGATAGGAAATCATTAATACAGCTTATAAAAAGAAGATAATTCAATTGATAGATTAATCTCTAATAGAGAATCAGACTGGCTATTCCTAGAACTAAAAGAGATACTGTGTGAAATGTAAGGTTTTCCAAATATGTAATTTTGGATTTTTACAGAGAGAAAACAGGATGTTAAAAATAGGATTTTCTAGAACAGCATGTCATTCACAGCATATCAGACACATTTATCATTTTATCTGCTTGTGGAATATCTTCTAGTAGACTGAGATTTTTTTTTTTTTCATATACGTTCAATGACTGGCAAGATTCAGTCTTTTCTACAGCATATTCTTTGGCAAGTATTTGCTGCATTCTTTTTCAGCAAATACTTGTATTAAATAATTTGTTGTTAGGAGAGGTATATGCCTAGTCTTAGTTAACTCACTGAAAATCTTAGGGAAAGTCTGTGGAACAATTTTGGTTTGCTGCTTTACCCTATGTGTAGAGAAGAACTTGAAGCAACAGTGACCCTGTCCCTTGAACTTCAGTCATGGCAGAGGTCACCAAGAAGCGAACGTTCCCTTTTGGGACCGTTCCAAAGCAACAGGGAGTTGGAGTGCCTTCATACAAGTGGAATATACCTGTTTTCTTTCTCATCCCAAGTGCTCATTTGTACAACTTTGAATGATTAACTATGAAGACTTCTAAATCAAACTCGATGGCAGATTCTACAACCCCTCCCATGATATATTTGATCTGTGGCTGCTGAAGTTCTAACAAAGAAAAGAGAAAATGATACTCCATTTCTAATTAAAGAAGTAATTTTCCTTTGCAGATAGACTTTTTATCTCAGCTGCAGTGTTAAGGATCAGTGGGTTGTCACATGTATGTCTTTTTAATAAATGCCAACTGAGATGACATTAAAGTGATAGACTGATCACTGTAATCAATGCAATTCAAAATTGCTTTATGTCTTAAATGAACTTGGTTCCTTTCTGTGATTCTCCTACATTTAACATTGTCTGAACAATGAAGTACAAGGTTACATCTTAGTTTGAAGTAAGAGCTCATGATGATGTGGAACTAAAATTTTTTACATAGGTGCAGGTTTTGTTGTTTAACTTGTGATTTTATGCAATTCAGAGGGTGTCACTATATATTCTTATTGGAAAAAAAAAAACAGTAAGAGAAGAAGAAAAAAAAAGTGAAAGTAGCAGAAAATAACATGAAGCTTCCCCTTTCTTCCCCCCTGCACTACCCTTCTGTCATAAAAATAGTGAGTGGCCAAGGCTTGATAAGATTTTTGTTTGCTTAATTGTCTCACATTAAGCCATGAATATCAATACTCGGAAACACAGAAATTACTCAACACAAAGTCAATCAGAATTGGTATGTGAGCATGAACATGTGGTTCATATTAAAAGAATAGCTGTGTATATGTTGTGCAGTGTCTGTACATTTAATAGTAAACACAGACTTATTGGTACTATTTCAAATGATACTGATATGTTTCGGTCTCCTGTAAGCACATCTTCCCTGGCTTCTGCCAAGGTGATGCATCTGTGAGAAGAGCGCCCTACTGATGGTGCGGGTGGTGCTGATACAGGAGGGCAAACAGAACACCAGAGAACAGTCTTATTTTTCACTAAAGGAATCATTCCTTACCATTATTCTCACAGTCTAATCAGTGTCTTTAAAAATCTATTTATGCAGATTACTTCAGAACTCTTTTCTTGTTCTGTCTTCATTTTTTCAAAACCCTAGAGGTTCTGTAAAAACTCTCAGGCTCTTTGTAAACCCTTTTCTCTTAAAGTTGGCAGACTGACAGGCTTTAGTTATGCTTAGTGCTAAATTGTTTATCTTCCTTTTCCCTCCTAGTCCTGACTTCTGAATCTTTAACTTGACTCTTGGGATGTATCTTCTTTTTCTTTTTTTTTCTTTTCCCCTTTAAAGTGAAGCCATTTTTATCTTTTGTCTTTATTATTTTACCATAAAAAAATGTACATGTAAAATTTTAAGATGCAGTGTCTGATTATTTTGTAATTGTAATTCTAAGCGTAGCAAGCTAACTAGGTCATATAAACCGTTTTATGTTTACTTGTGTATGATTCTTTGTCATCACCTGCATTCAATAGTGAATCTCAAATTGATTTATATTTTTTAAAAATACTATTGCTATACTATCTCATATTGTCTTGGGGCTCTCTCCTCTAGAAACAAAATCTTTTGATTGACAAGAGTTTTCCAATTATGATGTTGAAATGCTGGTAAAATAAAAAGTTAAGCACATAATCTCCTTTAAACCCAGCTTCCCACAAAGTACAATGTAGTGTCACTATATCAGCCTATTTTTGATGGGATATAAGCACACAAATGCCTTCCTAATAACCATGTGGTTGTGTGCTTTAAGTAATGTATGTCCTAATAACTTTCAAGTAGGAAAGAAGTGAATAAATGGTAGAAGAGATAACTTTTTTCATTGCTCATTGGTAAGGATAAGTGCTTATTTTTACAAAATACAAGGATAACTATTTAAATGCTAGCTTCTCTCAGTATGTTTTAAGCTTTCTTATATGTAAGGAGTTTCATACACTAAAGTATCAACTTGTATGCTATAAAAAGTGAATAATATGTACACTGTTTTAATATATGTGGCTTAGTAGTCTACAGTGTAACATGGTTGTGACTGTGACTCGGGTAGTACTTGTTAGACACTTCCTTCTTTATAATTTTTGGAGTATGATTTTATCTCACAAATACGTTTACACCTTTTAAAATTGTTACATCAATTTGTAGTATTTGGCTTATTTTGACAAAGAAGGGAACATGGCTTCAGGATACCGAATGCTTTTGAATACCTGGCCTGAAGTATCTGAAGCTTGTTACTACATTGTTTTGAAAGTGGCTAAGTTTTTCACATTAAAGGGAACAGTACAAAACATTTTACAGGAGGAAGAGTCTTGAACTGTCTTGTGAGCTAATAACAACAAGCTCTCATCAACATGTGAGTAAGCATCATTATTGGTAGTAACAATATATTTATTCTAATCTTTAGATCTCACATGACATCCAAAGAATACAAGCTACAAAAGGATCGGCACTTAATGAGGAATTCTAAGACATTACAAGGTAAATATCTTTTTTTTCCCCTGTCTGTATTATCATATTCATCAACTAAAAAGATGTAGAGGCTGGCTTATAGTATAATTTCAGTACTTGAATGTCATGGTCATGAGAATTATGTAAATTCTTAAATTACTCCCAGGGTTACTAAAGACCAGTCATACTTTCCTGGAACTTTTTCTTTCAAAACTTTTATCTTTAGTGTCTTGATTAAGTGTCTAATATGTTATGTGTCTGACCATTTTGGGTGCTACTTGTAATTACAATTCAGTTGTTTCTGATATTTTCTAAAACAGTTACACTTATCTTGTACATGATTATAAACAAGATTGTGGGAGCCTTCAGTATCCTGCTTTTATGACCCCAAAAAGCACAGTCACATATGGAAGGAAACTTGCCTTGAAGTTTACTTTGAAAATAAATATATGGCAATAGCATGAGAAAATGTGAATAAACGCTTGTTCTTAAAGCTACAGAGGAGTAGGAGAAGCAGCGCAATGTGCTACCCACTGGGTCCAGATCATCAGTTCACATCAAATACTGTCACTGAATTATGTTAGTGAGGTTGTACCTACTTGGTTAAGTCATGAAATTGGCCTTCCAAGGGGAAATATCATCTCTGGACTGGAGGGAAAAGATTGAAACCCCACACCTTTTATTTCTTTAAAATAGATGATGTATACTTGTTTTGTATACTTGTGCTGTAGAGAGTTTTATTAGTCACTTTAAAAACTCAGGTATTTGCCATTTCTTTGGAAACATGATTGACAAAAATAAAGGCCATTGTTATTGTAGAAGTCATGCTTCCTTGATGTTTTTGTTACTGTGATCTTGAATCATCCCATGCATACAGCATAAGAGTAATGGAATGGAAGATCAGCTTTATTTCCTGTTGTCAGAATGGACATTCTTTACAATAACCTTATTTTTGAGCATATTTCCAAGGGGCATGATAAATTTCTCCATCACTCTGTGTCTGTAAACTCTGATCCTAACTTTCCCTTCTAGCTTAAAGCTATGAATCTGCGTACACGTGAATTTAAAATAGCCAGAAAGTGTTCAAATGCATCTTACTCATCTTGAATATTCTAGTTTTGTCCTTCTTCATTCCAAGTTTTTGACAAGGTAGATTTCCTTATCTCATTTTATTAGACTGTTCAAATTGCCACGTGTGATACTTGCTATAATACTTCTGTTTCATTGTTACATTAGTATTAAACAGTAACTTTCTATTCTATTTTTGAAGTTGGTGACCTCTGAAGGATTTGGAACTCTGAAAGTTTCATTGGTGGAAAATATCTGATATCATATTCTGAACAGCCTATGGCTCATTAACTTATGTCTATTAATGGCTGCAAAATTCATAAACCTTTACATAATGATTTTCTTTAACTGTAGTACTATTAATTTTTATCGTAATTTTACTATTATTTATGATCGTCAAAAGAGTCTGTTAGAAGAAGAGATAATCACACAGGGCTTCCAATTTGTAGATCCTCTATGCCTTATATTAATTGTTGCAGGCTCTATTAAAGATTAAGGAGGTTACACGCTTTGACTTTATAAGGTGAAAGTAATTCTTTGAAGAGAAAGTTATATTATTAATAGTGATTGGACTTGATTACTCAAAGAGCTATAGTAATTCATTCATGAGTTCCATTCAGTTTCACTTCTTTAAGGGTTTAAAATGTTTCTGTTTAATCTGAGGGATCCTAATTTCTTTTCATCTGTCTGCTTACCAGTTATCGGAGCTTTTACACTCAAAAAAACCTCAAAACCACAAGCAAACAAACACACAAGCAAACAAAAAAACTAACAACCTTTTTATTAGAAACAGTTCAGATTAAAAAGTTAAATTACTATGTTATCTTTAAAAAATATTGGAGAAAAAAAACGATCTGTACTTTTGTTTATCCCTCCAGAATATACAGACTATATGGTAGTTCAAGATCTATAATGGACATGGTGTAGAGATATTTAAACAGACTATTGTCTGGATAATATAATACACCAGAAATAGAGCAGCTAGCAGATATTTTCCATATATTTTGATCCTTTTTATATGCACAGAGTAAAGAACAGAAACACCTAATACAGGCTGGAGATGTTGTGTTTTAGGAGATGTTAGATTGTTTTACTGGGCATCCTACAGATTCACAGGTTTCTGTAAGAAATGTCTTTTCTGTTCATAATTCAGAACTAGCGCCAGAAGCTGCAGCCTGAAGTCTCATTAAAGATTTGCATGTGAAGAGATTTCAGGTTCAAAGATTGATCAATCTGTGAGTTAGGATTTTTTTTTTTTCTAGTGTCAGTGCAATGTATGTAGTACCTTAAAATTATTTCTTTTAGTCACGCTGCACTATTTCATGTTTTAAATCTCATTCTGTGAGGGAAAGCAGTATTTCTTTAAAGTTATTTCCATTGTGTAGGATCTACTTACCACTTTCCAGCTATGGCTCTTTGCACTACACTACCACCATGCATTTCTGTTATTTGAATTTAGCCTTCCATCTGCTAAGGCAGAACACTGATGTCTTGTCTATTTGTCAATGTTTTAAAGGCTGTCACTATTTCCTAGAAGATTATGAACTCATACATCTGATATGCATGGACACTACAGATTCTGGGGCCATGTTCATGAGAGTCCTCAGCTGAACTTTCTCACTACTTATCTTACTATTACAAATCTTGTAGTTGATTGGTGGCCTGTTTGTGTTAGTCTTGCACAGTCATGGCAGGTTTTCATGGCAATCATATATATATTGGTACCTATCCAATTTACATATATGGATAGTCCCATAGGAGCTATTAACACTGTTCGTATGCATAAAGGAGAGTACAGTTATACATGCTTATGGCACTTGGCCTATTGTTTATTTTATTACCTGACAGTTTTTGATAGAAAGTATCCTACTGATACACCAGCTAGTATTAAAACCCTATATGATCATAAATCACTGTTTAATTTACCATTGAGGTGTCTCTGCTATTTTAACTGCATATTGTCTCGGGAGATTATTGTATATGCTAATAAATAATAGTCCTATTTGGTAGCACAAATTGTCATGCTGTCTACTCAATTATGGTTGTCATCTATTTGTGATTTAGCAGAAATAACAGCATTTGGTGTTGGAATTGTATAACTTTTTTCATACTTTGTTTTAATACTTGTTATGATTATAAATTTTTTTCCTGTCACTTCTCCCTGTTTGTGTACTTTAACTGTTCTGTTGAGGAGAGGTTTTACTTTATTAATTCCCCATCTGAAATGTTTAATTCCCAACTTTCCCTTATCTTTTTCAGGCCAGTATGTGCTTATGGTCCATGAAGTGACCATGCTCTCATTCTTGGGCCAGACTCTCCCACCTGCCTTCAAACTCTTGAATTTTTCCAGAGCAAACCAAAACCAAGAACAAAGATTCTTTCAAAGTCACCAGCAAGTAAAAAGGATCAAACCCCACAGCCAGGGCTCTTGTCCAAGGCACACTGAAGTCAATGGAATTTTTCCCATTGAATGCAGTGGAAGTTGGATTCAGTCTTTGCATCCCAGTCATCCTTGCAAGGTTTTTTCATGTAGTAATGGGGCTTAAGCTTTGAAAATTATAGTCTTCTAATAGCCAAGAAAATAACTGACTTGGAGATCTATGTCATGGTCATCTTCTTACTTATTAACATTTTAAAAGGAAGAAAAGAGAGGTTCTACTTAGAGAATTGAGATACAGATTAAAAATTTTTATCACTTCTTTTTTTAATATCTGTTTGGGGGTCTGTTTGTTTTGCAGAATTTTGATCAAATAATATAGTAAATTAATTTTTGTGACAATTGTAATCACCTCTCTAATAACCTGTTGAGACTATTTCATGCAATTCTTGTTCACAAGGTACCTCTATTGCATGAGGATGGCCTAGCAACTCTCCTCAAACTGATAGAGAATCTACCAGCTTCAAACAACCGGTTTTCAAAATAATTATTTATCAACTTTAAATCTTACTGATTTTTGGGTAAATTTATCTAATGGTTGCAAGCAACAGAGAGCACTTTCATTAGGAACATGATGGTGATGTACCTATCTGCTCATATACATCGATGTCCATGTGTTTACTGTATGAAGAAGTTTTCACCTGAACAAGATAGGAATGCTCTACAAGCCTCCTAACTTAAGCCTTTGCATGTGGATTGGAGGTTGATGATATTTGTAAAGGGGGGAGGGCTAGAGTTAATTCACATCACTGATGCAAAATCCATTACTTGCCTTACCTTAGATGTCCATTGTTGAATTGAAAAAAATGAAAGTTAAAGGAGATAAAGCACCTTAAATCTAAATTGAAGTTCTCCCTTGAGAGCCTCTTGGGGTAGGAATCAGCTTTGGAAATGCAGATGTGGCATTGCAAGGCATGCCCATGGCATTCCATAACCTGTAATGTCTTGACTTTTTTTACCGTCAGAATACATCTGATTCATCATCATCTTCCTTGCTCCTTTCTATGGAGATAAACTTTATTATTTTCTTTGCATTTTCTTAGAATGCAATCCTTTTGTTTGAATAGTACTAGCAATTACAAATAACAGCAGTATTGGGTACTTTTCCTCAGTCTTCATTCAAGAATCTCAGCCCTTCTGTTCCTTGAAGGTATGGCCAGAATTTCACACCAAGATCCACTAGTTCATGGTGAAGCCCCAGGTTCGACTCTTTGAAATATGCTTTTTAACGAGTGGAAAGCCTGGAGTATGAAGTCTTTGTACCAGTGGACTTTGTTAACCAGCCATTTGTGAATTCTTTCTAGACTCCAGAATAATGAGCTAGATTTCCTATTGATGTAATGGCAACTTTCACTATGAAGAAACAATCTTGTGCTTTCAGTTCTCTTAATCAAGTTTTAACAGTAGCCCTTTTTTAGGTTAGCTGATGTTGAACAACTACATGCTCTAACATCATGTCTCTTGGGACAGGGAGTACTACACAAACTATGTCTCTTAGAAAAGCAGGGGTCTCTGTTTTTTTTTC